ACATTTATTAGATTCAAATAAAATATTAAAATATGAATTTTGGCAATTTCTTTATTTTAAAAATTGTTAGAAATTTGGGGGTGTTACAATTGGTCCATTTGTTACTTACCTTGACTTGTCATCAACTAATACCACATTCCGGAACATTTTAGTTTCTTAAAGACACTAAGGTGGCATGGAATAAGAGTGCCCGAAAATGATTTTGATGTGTCCATTTTATGACCAATAGAATTAATTTTAACTTAGTTACTTTTGACATTCAACTAAAGTCTCATTAGTTGATTTTTACTTTAGACTTTCATCATGAATTCCCATTGGTTCTTTCATCTTTAGACTTTCAACTCTTATTCTTATTGGTTATTAACTTATTCAACTATTCTTTAAGTCTAAGTAGTTGAATTACTTTACATGTCACCTTTGAATTTCAAACTTAAATCCTATTGGCTTCTTTATTCTTAAGACTTTCAACCTTAATTTCTATTGGTTAGTTTCTATCAACCTTTGTCTTCCTTGGCTTTAGCATTAACATGATCATAAGGTCATCCAATATGTATAGAAATTTTACTAGTTTTCATAACTTACAAAGTCTTAAGATTTTACAATTACTTTAACTTGAAACAATTTCTATTGGTTAATAATTATCCAAGCTTTGACCAAATTTTAAGAATTAATCTAGACATCATTTGATCAAAATAAGACCACTTCAATTTATAGAATTCCACAAACAATTTAATTAGACAATCAAAATCAAGTTTAGACCTAGTTTCATTTATGGGATTTACATTTGTCATTTAACATGACACAACAAACTTTTCTATACAGACAACCTTTTGTGGGGCCCACACTTTAAAAAAAAAAAGAAATTACGGCACGCAAAACGAATCTCTATAACATTACACAAACACTTTTCTTACAACATAACTCTTATAAAATCCTTCATTTATTTGCAAACTAGTCCCTAAACTTTCACATAATTATACTTTGACCTCAAATCGTTTATATTATTTTCATTAGGATCATATTTGACTTATTTGACATGAACTGTATCCTTCACTTAATTGGTTCACTGTCACTTATTTTCACAATGAGAATTGTTATAAGACGCATAAACTAATTTATTGTAAAAGCTAATTGGTTGAGAGAATTTTATCGTGTCTATAAAATTTTAGATAACATTTTTTTTTTGTATTAAAATTTTAGATAACATTTGATTAACCAAAGCTTTTTACTTTTTTGGCTTCATTGGTGGACGTTGCTCAAGGCTGTATCTGATCCATTGTAAGTATCTCTAAATCTATTGCTCCGTAAAAGTGACATACATGTAAGGCAAACTCAGTCTTTGTTAAATTGATGTCCAAAAACATAACTGCCTAATATTGAACTATGTAAGTTAATTGTCTGGTTTGGCCATTTTAATCTATTTTATTAACCATCATATTTATCTATATCGTAATTAATAAAATAATAATGACAAAATTTCATCTTATCGCAAAATATCTAACTATGACGAACATCAATAATTTTGTTTTAACTCAATGTACCCATCTTTTGTTTATCTTGGCATAAAATTAAGCCGACAGATACAAATGACAGAGAATTTACTTGTGTATGTAAATGCTGACATAACATTTAATTAACTAAAGCTTTTTCTTTTTTAACTTAATCAGTTAACGTTGCTCTAACTGGTTGTATCTGATCCATTGTAAATATCTTCATTCTTATTGCTCCGTAAAGAGAGACATACATGTGAGACAAACTCAGTCTTTGTTAAATTGTTGTCCAAAAACAATCTGAATACCATTGAACTACAAAAGTTAATTGTCTTGTTTGGCGGCCATTTTATTCAAACTTATTAACCAGCATTTATCTATATCGTAATCAATAAAATAATAATGAGAAAATTTCAAGTTATAACGATTTATTTAAGTAGGGCAAACATCAGTAATTTCGTTTTAGCTCAACGTACCTATCTTCAGTTTATCGTGGCATAAAATTAATTAAGACGACAGATACAAAGTATAAATAAAGGAACATTTGAGCAAAGTTGTCCTAAGCATTAACCCAGAATTCATAGTAAATATCTGAGCTTCCATTTTAGAATGACATATAGACAAATTCGAAAGTACTGATGTCCAAAGGAATGTTTATAATTAGCAACTTCTTAGTTATACAAATAATATTGCATTTGGACAACAATCATTTTAAGTTCTAACAAATATATATATATATATATATATATATATATATATATATATATGAGGCAGGATCCTTTGACACCAGTGTCAAATTTCAAATTTGACACCTCACCTTAGAGCCATTAGATCAAAAAAGATCAACGGTGTCACATGCTTACAAATCATAGTCCACTACAAGAAAAAATCTCATTAGTGACAAAATTTTATGAAATTTCGTCACTAATTCCTACGTCACAAGTAAATTTCGTCACTAATTCCTGTGTCGCAAATATATTTGTGACGAAATTCGATTATTTGTGTCGAAAATTATCATTTGTGACAATATTTGTGACGAAAAAATTTCGTCACAAATAAACTTTTTTCTTGTAGTGGTCGTTGATCTTTTTTGATCTAACAGCTCTCAGATGAGGTGTCAAAGGATCCTACCTCTATCTATATATATATATATATATAGGGATAAGATCAACTTACACCGGTGTAAGAATAATAAATCTTACACCACATCTTAACCGTTGATTTTCGCGCATCCAATAGTTGAGATTTATTGGGAATTAAAAATTAATTAATGAGTGAGACCTAATAAATCTTAACCGTTAGATGTAGAAAATCAATGATTAAGATTTGGTGTAAGATTTATTATTCTTACACCGGTGTAAGATGATCCTGCCCCATTATATATATATATATATATATATATATATATATATATATATATATATATATTTAAATTATTAGCAAGGTTAATTGTTAACCCATGTTTCAAATTTATTTACAAAGTACGTAAGCTAATATAATTAATTGATACAATTTTCAACACTTGTTGGGGTATATTTGAAAAAGAAAATAATTTATATTATAGAATATTTTCACACAATTTTACATTGGTTAATGATCACTTAATTATTGTTTAACTAAATGTGTAAATTGGTTAACGGATTATTAATAGTGTTATTAGCTTATCAGATTATTCTTGAATAAATTTTAAACCTGTATCCAAAAAAAAAAAAAAAAAATTAAACCTCGTGACCAAGATCAAAATACAAGAACTAGGTCTAGATACTTACCTCCAAGAATAGTCAATTAATTGGGACATACCCCTTTTTTCTTTTTGTAACATAGAATGGATCACAAAAGTCTTCCATCCTACATTGGCCGATCATAGATAAATAAGGAATTGTTTAGTTTAGTTTTTTTTTAACTTAATAAAAGACTTTTGTGCGTACTTTTATAATGGGTTGACATCTCTCAACACTAAAATAATCTTCAATGATAGGAATGGATAACTCTAAATCCCCTCAAGTTCTCAGTAGTCTTGCCATCTCATACTGAGTCATACACAGTTAACTATAATTTATCTTATCAATTTTATACTCATGACAGACTTAACTAAGTCAATAATCATTTGACTTATTCAAAGTAACTAAATGTTAATAAAAATGTGGGACCACTTGTTGAAGTTTATAAGTTAAATTTTAAAATAAAATGTAACATTACAATTGGTCCAAACATTTTCTCAAGGTTTATGTTTTCCATAACATCTTTATGCTTATATCCAAGAGATTTAAGTTCAAATGAATCACGTAGTAAATTCCCTTCAAGTGAGTATTACTTTGCATGTACTTCAATGCAATCTTCTCCTAGCAAAGTGTTAGGAAGACAAGGACAATGGGGGTTCAAGAAAGCATTTCTAGGATTAAGGAGGAAAGTGATGGTGAATGATACAATTTTAGGACAAAAGAAGCCTCTTTTACTGCAGTCACGTTTCTAAATATAAAAAAATCTCTTTGACTCCGTATTTTGGGCAAATTTTCACATCAAATAAGATGCACTTGGTTCATGACATCTTCATAGAGCTTGGTGTGAAATATACAATGGCCTCTACGTATACACCAACAAAGATGTCATCATGGGATATTCGTGTGAAATATTTTAGGTGCATGAAATACTACAATTTCATCAAACTTTCTCACCATTATGAAGTTCATTTTCATTCAATAATTCACCTTTTATATATATGAATAGATGATTTTGTTTTGCTTTATGTTTTTTTAAAGACAATGCGCATGCTTATTAGAGGAAATTTAACATTTAATTTTAAAAGTAAATGTAATAAGATTAAAACTCATGATCAATTGTTCAAAGATAGCTTTTCTAAGCATTGGTTTGGTAAAAGCTGATAAATTTTATTATATCAACAATGCTATTCTTTTTACACTTGATTTATATACTTCTTTTCGACGCCTTTGCTTTTATCTTAAAAAAAAAAAATTATAAAAAAACAAGAGAGAGAGAGAGAGATCCACCTTTCCACTTCTCCCTCATCTTTATTCTCATGAAAGAAACGCGCAGTACATAGGTGTAGGAAATGAGGCGCAAAAGTAAATATTATTTTTATTTTATTATTTAATTTTTTTTTTGATATAACTTGGAGATATCTCCCTTCAACTTTATCTGGTTACTTTATTTTCGGAGTACGGCTCCAAAAGCTATCTCTTCATTAAAATAGCAGGTGTATTGAACTTTGTCATCGAAAGAAAAATGAAACTAATTCCTGATTCGAAAAAAGACTCGCCCCAATGATTTTGTAAGAATTTGATTGAGATAATTTTCGATCCCGCACTCAATCAAATCCTTATAAACTTAGTTGTCAACTGAGGTAACCCCTTGTAGGTTTTTTCTTTGTTTTTCAAACTAAGCAATTTATCTTGTCTTTTTCTAACTGTCTCTCATGTTCACAAGCCTATATATATACCTGCTGTCTATTCGGTCTTTATTCATGATTAATTCATTATTGACAATACAATCATGGCTGTTTCCATCCCAAAACTCCTAGCAACCAAAAATCCCATCTCTGTCTTGTTAACAATCTCAATATTTTCCCTCTTTCTTGTTAACAAAGTCAAATCAGACTTCTCTGTCAACTTCCCCACTTTTGGCCCAAACGTTGTTAAAGATATAGCTTTTGAAAACGATGCCACTTTATCAAAAGGAGCAATACAACTAACAAAGAAGAATGAAATTGGTAATCCACTGCCACACAGTGTTGGTCAATCAGGATTGTTCAACCCAATTCGTCTCTATGATAAAAGCAGTGGTCAAGTTGCAGACTTCACCACTGAGTTCTCTTTTGTGGTGAACAAAAAAGGTAGAGAAAATCATGGTGATGGATTTGCCTTCATTATTGTAACCCCAGACTTTGAATTCCCAGACCCAAAGGAATCAGCTGGTGGATTTCTAGGAATGTTCACACGAGAAACTGCTTTCAACTCCAAACATCAAGAAGTTGTGCTTGTTGAGTTTGATACCTATGGAGATGAATGGGATCCTGTTCCTAATTCTCAGTCTCCTCATGTAGGAATTGATGTGAGTTCTATTAAGTCAGTGGTTACTGCCCCATGGTTTAATGACATAACCCCCGATGGAATAGTAGTAACTGCACGCATAGAGTATAATTCTGGGGCCAAAAAATTGAGTGTTTCAGTAACTTATCCTGGTAATGTCCCACTTGATTCAAGATTAACACTCGATATTGATTTGACGACTATTTTACCAGAAAAGGTTCAAATAGGCTTCTCTGGTTCCACTGGTGACTTGGTTGAGACGCATGACATTCTTTCCTGGTCTTTTCATTCAACCTTGTAGAGACTTGGAAGGAATATCATCATATAATATACATATCAAAATAAAGTTTCCGGAATAATCCCTCTAAAGAGGAGAATAAAGTGAATGTAATTGCCTCGGCAATCAAATCAATAATAATACAAGTTGTCTATTAATGTTGAATAAAATTCTCTACTTGCGTTACAACAAATATCTTGTATGGGAAAACATTTTTTCATGTGGTAGGATAGTTGTTTTCTCTTATTAGTGACTCTTTGATTTTCGTGTCATATTTTCTTTTATTTTTTTAATAGATGCGGGCCTCACATAAAATATGTCTACAGCATGAGAAAATTTTCTCCTACCGCATGAGAAAATCAAAACTCATCTTTTATACACGTAAATTATATTAAACACTTATAGTCGAATGTAACTATATATTTATATGTAAAAAATAAAATAAAATAACATCATACTTCCTAATTGCTACAATAGAATAATTTTCTTAGCAATGATTAAAAGTAATTTTTTTTTAATTAACTCAACTCTAATTATCTCTTTGAGGCAACACTACAAAAAAACCGGTGTTTAGCCACATTAAAAAACGTGGCTAAATTTCTTTTAAAATGTGGTTAAGTAAAACTACCACACTCTTTATGAATGTGGCTAATCGTGGGGTAGCAATATTTTAGCCACTTTTATTGTTTCAGTTGGCTACATTTTGTTTGAGTGTGGTAGCATTTTTTTTAGCTACAGTTACTGATTAATTTTAGCACGGTTTAACCGTGGCTATTTTAAAAAAATTTAAAAAAAAAATGATAGCCACATTGTGGCGAAATTCATAGAATTGAAAACCAATCAAGTCCACCAGCCATTTATAGATACCAACCAGCTATTTAAACGCCCTCTTCCATTCAACAAAAAGTAGATCTTTCTTAAGATAGTTTTTAGCAATGTCACACATCTTTATGGGCTTTGAATGAATGTTCAATTATCAATCCATAAATACAAAAGTCAGCACATGCCTCTCATTACTGTGTGTGTGTATTCGCCAATGAGGAGAACACTCAAAATCAGAGACTCCATAACAAAAGTAAAGGAGATGTCATAAGGATAAACTTCTCGTTCTCCAACAACAGCTAATTCTGCTTCTCTCGTTCGGAATTTGGTGAACTGTACCATAAAATAATATAAAAAAAATCAGAATATTAATATTTTCATATATACATATCTAATAAAAGCATATAAGATAGAGAGTAGCATTATTCAATACCACAAAATTAAAAATTGTTTATTATAGCCGCACAAGAATAATCACATTCAATATAGAGCTATCGAAAGCAAGGATCTTCACAAATATACGGAATAGAAGACAGTTAACAATTAAGTGGTTAAGCCAATATAGAGCTACCAACAAGGAAAGCAAAAACGAAAAAGAAAAAAGAAAAAGGAACATAGCCATTATCAACCTGGGTGTTAACAATATCTTCATATCCAATGTTGATATCAGCCACCAGCACCTTCAATGTGTCAAAGAGATAATCAGACTCAATGAAATGCTCAAGAGAAACAGCAGAAACAAGGACTGACAGAGAGAGCGTACCTGAGAGAGCACAAGAAGTTGTTTATCTGGTAATTGTGGCAATGAATGCAACAGTTTATCCAAAAGCTTGACTGGAGCTTCATACACATACTCCTTTCCATACTGTTCATACATGAAAAAATGAGCTGGAAATGGCTCCACAAGAAAGCTTAGAAAATGCAGGTTGTATTAATGATTTTTTTTTTTGGTAAGTATGAATTTTATAATTAATCCCCAAGTGAAGTATATCATCAAGCTATAAGTTACAAGGTGTAATATGCATAGCTCAGATCATGACTGACACCTTCGACTGAAAATTGCAAATAATAGTAGAATTATAGAACCCCACATGTCACTAGATAAAACCAAACTTTATCATGAAGAGCATCTAGTAACAGACTCTAAAAAGCTTTATCATGTGGTGAAAAATGGGAAACTATTTCGCACATTGGGCATTTAGCATATAACCAAACTACCTTAGCTATTCTCATTCAGAAAATAATAGGGAAAGATCATCTTGAGCTATTCTATATTACCTGCTATTCTATATTCAGATAATCATATATCAACTCACAAAAATCCCACTTTTTCAGTACCTTATCGTTGCATGAAAAAAAGGAAGAGTAAAATCACAAGAAATCCCCACAATAGCATCTGAAAAATAAGCAAAGACTATATATATATATATATATATATTGGAGTGGTGGCCTAAAGAAACAAGGACAAGAAAAATAGCTGAAGCAGTAGAAGAGGATATATTACAAATTTCTCATAATGATATAAAAAGACAAAAACAAAAATATGTTTTCATTATTTTGATATATTGCCAAGGTAGATCCTTTAACTTTGTCGTATGTGCAGATTAAATTCCCAACTTTATATATAAAATCCTTTTCATCAAGAAAAAAGTAAAAAATGTCAAATAACTTACACATGGGTGACATGACACTCTTTACATTCCATTCACCACTTCACTCCCCTACCACATTCCACCAGCACAATGTACGTTATGATATGCTATACTTGTATCTCAATCCCATAACAGAATCTAAGCATTTGATTACGCAACAGACTTACATATATATGTAGAAGTAGAAAACTCACCAACAAAGCAGAGAGGTCCATTTGATTTGCTCAGAGAGATAAGATCTGGAGCTCTATAATTTTTAATATAATCGATGTTTTGCTGCACATTCATACTGGGAATTAGGAGGCCTGGTGGAGGATCAAACTTCCAACATGATTACCACATCCAAATCTTAAAGGCTTGGCCAGTGCCATTGAGCTACGAGCTCGTTGAGAGATTCCAAATCTTTTTGATTTAATAACTAAAAAAATGGAATAATAAATGCTTTTTATCTACATCTACCCTATGGATTTTTTATTCGTCAAAGCTATATTGTTAGAGGACAAAACTGATATTAAGTCACAAAGAATCATACCTGGATTCTGTACTTGTAAAATGCATATCCTCCATAACCAGCAACAACCAAGATCAAAATAACCATCCAAACAAAGCCTCCGCTGGCCAATGAAGCAGCATATTTCCCTGCATCTTGTAAGATACCACAAGAGTGAAAATTTAATAAATTATTCTTTATCAAGTCTCAATAGCTATGCAAGGAGTATCAACATAGAGAGTTAGAAAGGCAAGAATAAAATTTAGAAAACTTGACAAACTACAAATGGGATAAATAGAATCTCAATTCAAGGTAGCTATGAAGAATAACTAGCACTAGAGTTATCTCAAAAAATGGCATTCAACGAGTTAGAAAAACTAAGAAATCCTCACCAATACACATGTCACTTTCTCGCATGTAGTATAAGCCATTACTGCATCTGCAATCATAACTACCCATGGTATTTTTGCATTTGCATTCTGGGCACTGGCAGGCCAATTTCTCTTTGTATCCACATCCGCAACATAATCAACACAAGAAATATAGAAAGCCTATATCAGATTTGTAGAATAGCTACCAGCATAATTGCTTACTACTGTAGGATCACATTCGAGCATTCTGAAAAAGTTCACTAAGCAAATGTCTCTGATGTTTTTGTGATTAACTTGATACTAAAATAGTTTAAACAAATTTAGGCTGGCAAAGTACCTTCACAGGACTGGACTCCATCACCCCTGAATCCTGGTGGACACTCACAACTTTTGTGTGGTCATCCTGCATATATTGTCCAAAACTAAAACACAAAACCAAAAAATTAATAATAAAAATAAATAAAAAATAACAAAAGAGACACTACAACTACAAGGAAATGAAACGAACAAACCTGAGAGGTCGAAACCGGACGGTGACAATGACATTCTCCTTGGCCTTGCTGACGTCAGAGGCGTTGGTGGCGGCTACAGGGGATTCAGACAATTTCAGCAACGGTCTCGACGATATCGAAGAAGATGACAGAGTGGTAGGTCTTCGGCTGGGTTTTGTGCTGGCCGTAGGAGACTTCCGTGACCGAAGAGGCGAGATGGTGGAGGAGGCTCTCTGAGAGGAGCGAGTGTAGCCGGTGGGGGAAGACATTGACGGAGAAGAAGGTCATGAACCTGTTAAATTTCATGACGGAGAAGATATTGTAATTGTGCTAAGCATTAAGGATTCACAGAGCATGAGACCTGCTTCTTCAGATCAATTAACACCATGAATGAAAACCTAAAACAAAAACTAAAAAAGAAGAAACATAAAATCAAAATCAAATGCGTGCGATTGGAATTCTAGAAGAAAAAAATAGATCCACGGAAAAAGAAAAGTAGAAACTCACAGGGAACTCGGGTTCAAGCGCTCGAGATAATGATACGTTCTCTCCATGGATTCCGACGGAGAGATCAAGATTCAGAGGAAAGGGAATTGAAAATGATAGGGTTAATTGACTCAATGAGGAAGAGAGGAAAAATAAGAATAGGAATTCTTGGAGTGTTACCCTAAAAGATACACGATCGAGGAAACAGTGAGGGGATCCTGTGATTAGGGAAAATATACAAAGGAAGCGAATATTTTTGCGACATTCCATCCACTGTGTAGCAGATCTGGTAATATTTCAAAATTTTGCGATGATATCTACGAGTGAGGCTAAACGAATGTGCCTAAACGGCGTTTCTCTTGTAGTGCAAGTTGGCTTCCCACGGTATCTACACAAATTTTGACTCTTTAGGCCAGCTATGAGACTAATCTGGATTGCAGAGCGGGTTAAGGGTGAAAATATTTAAACCCCTTCCAAAGGTGACATGCAGGGATCGAACCGAGGCCTTTTTCTTTCCACTTACTTAGATCCCTTGCTATCAACTGAGCTATCATCATTTGATATTAAAAGTATGTTTTATTCAAACAATATAAATAGACTCTTATAAAATGTCCATCAATAATCTCTGTACTGATTACATTATGCTTCCAACTTTTGTTGCTATTTACGAACTTCGAAGGCCCAAAATACATACGTTAAACTATTAGAATGCAATATCGAATGGCTTAAAAGTAGCGGGGCATTCGGAGTTAAAGGCAAGAAAATCGCGCGACAAGTGATGAATTAAACTTCCTTATAATAACCTTCCGTCAACATAATGGAAATAAACTGTATTATTAGAGATTAATAATAGATATGAAACATTGGCTTGTTATCTCCTGAAATTTACCTTCTAGAACTACTATTTTGAAGAGAACTTCTTTTAAGCACAATCTTTATTTAAAAATAAAAAGGAGTTAATATTTATATTTTACTTAAATTTTAAAAATTATAGTGCGATACATATTGATATAATTTTAATTTTGTAGGTTCATGAAGTACCAAATAAATGATGTTAATTACAATAAATCTTAAGCACATAACATTATTATAACATTTAAAATCGTAAATTAAATTGATAATTATTATACCCATAAATCTTAAGGACATAGCATTATAAAATTTTATTAAATATTGATATCACAAATTCACAATGTCAAAATTACATCAGACAATGATAAACAAATAGAATAATTAAATTTGATAGTAATCCAGCAAATATCGATTTGTGGTTATTTAATACAGCAGTCTGACCATATATGCAGGAGAGGGGTGAACCAAGCCCGCGCGGGACACATCTTGAACAAACCCATCACCTTGTCTAAAATATGCTGATTTTGTTTTAGTTTATGCGAAATCTATCTCTGTTGTCACTGTAAAAAAAATCATATTCTGCAACAGATTTTTATTATATACTCTCGGGAGTATATAATGAAAATATTTTTTTAATAGATGCGGGCTCCACATAAAATGTGTCTACAGTATGAGAAAATTTTCTCCTACCACACGAGAAAATCAAAACCCATTTTTATACACGTAAATTATATTAAACACTTATAGTCAAATGTAACTATATATTTATATGTAAAAAATAAAATAAAATAAGATGATACTTCCTAATTGCTACAATAGAATAATTTTCTTAGCAATGATTAAAAGTAATATTTTTTAATTAACTCAACTCTAATTATCTCTTTGAGGATGTAACACCCCGTGTATACCCGGTTTGTTATCATGTCATCGTATTAAGCCACGCTTAATTAAAAATGAGAAATTTCTTTTTCTTTTCAATTATGACGTCATTAATATTACCAAGTTGATTACTTAATCCTTTTCAAAAACATTGCCTGTATGTAAATTGCAATTAAACATCTAACTGAAATACCTCAATAACATAAATAACTAAATGTGTCTCTAGTCACGGAACTGCAACACGTAGATCGGACATATCCTGATAGTTTATACAACTCAAATAAACTTAAACATCGTCAAATCAATGTGGCATGGACAGTCCTCATGCTCACCAAATAAACAGCATATATACTCATCAAGTCTCAAAACAAACAACATGATAATGGATAAGGTATGATCACTAAACAGGTGCATCAGCATAATCAGCAAGCATATCAATCTACTAAGCTCTGGCTCCTGCTGCTAGAGGTCTAAACTCCTGGGTTACCTGAACCTGAAATATGTGCCCCAAACGCGGGGTGAGATCGCTAAACAGAAATCTCAGTAAGCCAAGGGGTCCTCAAGAATTTCTCCACCCCAAGCTCACTTACATGTGCAATATAAGTTCTAAAAGTAATATACAATATCAGTTCCAAAATCAGTGCAATGCAACAGATAATCATGTCATGTGTGTCAAGATATTCTACTGGCCAGAGAAATGCAGGATTTATATATGTCTATTACCCACATTTAGTGCAAGACGCCACTTGCACCCACCCACAGAATCACCGTATGGTATGACGCCACATAGTCAGGCTTACCGTCTAGATAGAACAATACATGCATATTATAAGACCCTTGCACATAACAACTCAACAACATTTCAAAATCAATACATGAAAACACGTCATGATCATGCATATAAACCATCCCCCCATGGGGCATGGTGAAACCAACAATGGCTAAACCGAGGACACGGAAGCTTACCTCTCAAGCAATCAATCCAAATCCAAGGTCCAAACCCGCTCAAAGTCCACACACAACACAATCACAATTTGTTTGGACCAATAATCATATCAATATTCATACTCTACAAGCATATGACACAAAGACCACGCCTTCCTTTTACGTTTCTTGTCTTTAGGCTTCTCACAAAGCCATAAGCCCTTAATCTATTATTGTTTAGCATTCCTTAATCTATTATTGTTTAGCATTCCTTAATTGAGACTTAGAACATATGGATTATATTGCAAATGAAGGGAAATGAATTGATTTTGTGAATAAAATATCCTAACTTTGTGTGAATTGTCTTTTGTTGGTTAAAAATGTTAATGGGCTGATTTCTTTTGTGTTTTAGGCCCAATTGGTTATGATTCTCTATGCAAAAAGACTAAAGGAAAATTGGGCCATTATTTTTCTTATTAGAAGCCCGAAAAAGAGGAAAGAAAGAAAAGACAAATCAGAATTGGAAGAAAAGAAAAGAAGAAAAGAAGAGAATGGGCCAGGAAATTTAATCCATCAGCGGCCCAAAGAAGGAAAGAAAAGAAAAATTGAAAAAAAGAAAGAAAGAGGAGCAAAAGGGACAGATAAGAATCGTAAGAGATAGATCAGACACAAAGAAAGAAGAAAAAAAAACCCTAGCTCTCAAACCGTCCAAGAAAACCCCTTTCCATCTAGACCTTCATCTCAATCGTTCCTTCCAGATTCCCTTCACCGAAACACCTTCTGATTTTCACTCAAGACACAAAACCCTAACCCTCCATCACAGTTCAATTCTTGAATCGAACCAACCCACACAAGACCTAATCGATTTTTTGTTCAATACAGAAAAATCCAAAAGAGTTGATGAGCTGGAGATCGTTAGTGGCTGGAGTTGCTTTTGGAGTGTGTTTCTGAATCGTGCAAGGGACACCCACGATCGATGGGAGCAAGGAGCGTACGTTTGGGAGAGCTGATTTTGGAGTAGCTATAAGAAAGGGACAAAGGGCATTTTGTAGGACATTCTCTCCCTACCTCTCTTCTCTTCGCTGATTTTATTTTTCTGCTCTTTGAGAATATTTTTAGTTTTTCTATCTTTATTTGTAGTATTTTTATTTTGTAAATTTTATGAGCACTGTGGTCAGGACTATCGGCTGTTGATAGTTCCTGAGTTTTTTTATTTCCAGTACCTTTTAAAGTTTCTATTTTCATTATGAACACTTGCTGTATTTTAGCTCATCAACCTGTGGTGATGAGCTGATTTTTCTGAGAGTTGTGTTGGAAAAAGTACCCGGAACTCACTGTTATTGGATGATGTTTTAATGTTTACATGATTGTTTTCAGCTTGTTTACTGTGCATGTTTATTGCTGAGTTTGGCTATGCGATGATCACACATAGTCAACTCTTAGTGGTAAGGCAGCAGCCTCCACCCATTTGGAAACGTAGTCTACAGCAACCAATATATATTGGTTTCCAAAAGAGGGTGGAAAGGGGCCCATAAAATCTATGCCCCATACATCAAAGAGTTCAATCTCCAGAATAGGTTTCAAAGGCATTTCATGCCTTCCAGAAATGTTGCCAAGTCTTTGGCACCTATCACACTTATGGACATAGGAATTTGCATCCTTAAACACAGTTGGCCAATAAAGACCGGACTGCAGCACCTTTGCTGCTGTCCTCATGCCACCAAAGTGACCACCATATGGTGAGTCATGGCATTGCCTAAGGATGTCCTCTTTTTCTTCCTCTAAAATACATCTTCTAATGATCTGGTCAGCACATTTTTTAAACATGTAAGGCTCATCCCACAAATAAAACCTGCTCTCATGTACCAATTTTTTCCTTTGTTGGTAACTCAGCTCCTTAGGCAGTTCCCCACTAACTAAATAATTAGCTATGTCAGCATACCATGGGGTTGTGTTAGTGGCAACAAAAAATAGTTGCTCATCAGGGAAGGTTTCTCTAATGGCTTTCTCCACTACCTTTTCATCTTGCTGCCCTTCATTAAGCCTAGACAAGTGATCAGCCACTTGATTTTCGGTTCCCTTCCTATCCTTAATCTCCATATCAAACTCTTGAAGGAGAAGAACCCATCTAATCAACCTAGGCTTGGAATCTTTCTTTTCCACCAAATATTTTATGGCAGAATGGTCAGTATACATAGTGACCTTGGTGCCTACCAAATAAGATCTAAACTTGTCAAAGGCAAACACTACAGCCAACAGTTCCTTTTCAGTCACTGTATAGTTCAATTGGGCTCCATTTAAGGTTCGGCTGGCATAGTAAATAGAGTGGAAAACTCCATTTTTTCTTTGTCCTAAAACAGCCCCCACTGCCCAATCACTTGCATCACACATTAACTCAAAGGGCAGTGACCAGTCAGGGGCTATTATGATGGGAGCAGAAA